TATCTCGGTTCCCTTAAGACATTGGTGTATATGGTACTAAGAAAAATTGCTTATGTTTTCAAGATCTACATGTCGTGTAAAGGAAAACCCCAACTTTGCGGACACCCTGTATATATATATAGATATATATATATATATCGTCTTATATGTAAATATGACATATACTGAACCATGAACGTTGCCAAGTTCTGAGACTTCTTCATAACACTTTATGTTTGGACGAAGATGTCTATCTACTTTTCGCGACTAGCCGATTTTTAGTTTGGATGTAACTCGAAAAATAGCTTTAACCGTAATGTTTGCCTTACCCAGGTTGCAATTCTCGCCAATAAACAATTTTCAACGATTTTGATCCAAGAAATTGCAGCGAACTTTTATGTTTCATTTAAGAATAGCGCTGTATTTTTGCCTGTAGCTTTAAAGAATAGTAAAATATGATCTGGATATGAAGCTGCTAGTCAGTTCTTCTGGAAAGAAAGTTTTGCAAATACTAACATTTCCACCCTCCAGTTTTTTGCCAAGTACTTGGTAAGATCTTACGGGCTAACTTGACCACCATTATCATCTGGTGCCCACAGTATAAGGACATATAGTCCGGGTAGTATCTCAGCATCTGATCGAAAAGATATTCTGATTCGGATTTATTGCATAATCTTATTCAAAAGGCCCACTTTTAACGAATCTGCACATTGTCAGGCCTAAATTAGCGTTATTTAAACATTTTTTTAATTTCAAAAATTGTTTTTTTTGCTCCAGTCAATGTACTATTCTCAAAAGTCTCTCTCAGGAGGAATAACAATTGTTTTTTAATTGTTAACCAATCACGCGCTCAGTAAATACTCGAGAGAGATGCAACGTCTACGTTCTTACGAATATGGCATGTTTCCCATTCTTTTAAAATATTGTATCACTTATATCTCGAAAAATATCAACTTTAGAGAACAGTTCTAACACGTTTTTTATTCAGAATGTCCCAAAAAACCTAAAAACACTTTGACCAAAGCAAATAAAACAGTTTCTGAAATTTGTCAAGGAAACATTGTTTAAAAATATTTTGACAAAAATTTAGGCCTGACATCATATAGATTTATTGCAAGAGAACCTTTTTGAATATGATTATGTAAAAAAATCCGAATCAGAATATTTTGCAGTCAGAATGGTACTGAGATCGCCCAACACCATCAAAGATTCTGTACAGCGTTTTTCAAAGAGGCTGGTCGCTATCTTAAATTTTTTTCTTAAATGGAATTGAGAAATGTTTTTTCAGTGCCTACCTTATAACCATAGAATATAAATTTCAAAATGTTGGATTAGCAGACTGCCGAAATTAAGTGGATTTGAGCCCTGGATCATGTATAACCCAATAACTAATTATCAAAGCGCTACAGAATGTGGTATCAGTCTTTTTATTTTGGAAAGGTATCTATGTAAGAAAATATGGGACATAACATTTAACAAATTGACAGATGTCGACATTCTTTTGTCCACATCTTAGAATACATATTAGGAAGCTGCTATCAAGAAAAGAAGAACTTGCAAGCGATTCAATGTACAAAAATGCTCAACTTTGACTGCCTACCACTACCACTTGAAAATATTAACGGCCACATCAACGCTAAAATAAATGAACTGATTTTATTGCTCAGAATTTCAGCTCACTCATTTGACCCGTTCAAGAGATAAGTTTCTTTAGATAGGGTTATATTATATATTGGGGATCTGGCCAACCAGGTGAAAGGGTTTTCGCACTCTAAAAGAGAGCTTCATGAACTATACAGGTAGCTTGTTTCATCTCAAATATCTTGCAGATGGATAACTGAAGTCAGGATGGGTATATCCTGTATATACATACATATATATATACGTATATATACAGGGTGGCACATCCATGTGTGGACGGAATATTACTAATAAACAAACACATTTTGGGGAAAATCTATTTACGGCATTTTATACACGACATTTGAGGGTACTTTTCTAAAGTATCGGCAATTATACAGGGTCTCCCAATTTTGACCTACATATCAAAGTTGTGATTTTTTAAGTGGAATGCCTCAAATTTTATTGCATATTTGGATAAACCAATTCAAAAGAAGAAGATGGATATGACATACTATCGGGTTTTGGTAATTAGCTACTGAGATGTAAGGTCTCCATCCGCCATTTTGAGTTTAGAGTGCTGAGTTTTGTATCAAAAAAAACTTACGCACTTCAACTTTTCTCTTAAATGCTACTTTTTCGTATTTTCATTTTTGCTCTTACAATTGTACTTTTCCTCGATAATTTCAAATGCTTCACCCTGTGAACATTTGGATTCAATTTCTTATAAGCTTTTTTTTAGTACAAGGTTTGATTCAGATAAAATCACTAGATTATGTGTTATTAAGCTTTCAATATAACAACACACCGAAATTAAAGAAAAATCACATCATCCATGGAAACAAAAGACAAACAGTTGGCTAGTTCCATATTACCACTAAGAGTACAGATTTGACGTAAAAACTAATAACAACAATCAGAACAGTATAAATCATCTTCAAGCGTAACAGAGAATAACAACTATAACAACAACATAAACAAACGTCTGTCACTACTCACACAAAAACTGCTCGAAAATATCTCCACTATGTCGAATACACAGCCGTAGTCTTTGGATAAATGACAGTTGCACATCCCTCAGCATGTGTTCCCTTATGTTCAGAAAAGCATCCTTAATCCTTTCCTACATATTTTCCGGGGTAGATGGTGGATATCTGTAAACCTCTTGCTTAACGTAGCCCCATAGAAATAAGTCCATCAGTGTCATATCTGGTAATCTAGGAGGCCAAGATATAGGCGCATCACGATCGATCCAACGATCGTTACTTCAGGTGTCCAAATAGTTATGTTGGAAGTACATATGCATTCAAGTTTGCAGGTTGACATCCTCCAGAAGCAAAGGCGAACGCTCGATCAAAAAATTCAAGTATTCTGTACCTGTTAATCTGTTGTCAAAAAAGAAAGGCCCGATCCGATAACTTGTCTGCGAATAACTCCTCCCCAAACATTCAAGCTCCATTGATCTTGTAAATCTATTTGCCAAACACAGTAAGGGTTTTCCGTCGCATAATAGTGCATTTTATGTCTGTTGACAACACCGATACTGTTAAAAGTTGCCTCATCGCTAAAAAGAACCTTATTCTGGAAAGTAGTGTCTTCACTCAGTTTATTTAGCGTTATTCTTCTAAAGTCCGTTCGAGCTGCGAAATCCTGAGGACGAAGGCCTTGATGCAAGCATAGGTGATGTGGATGGTACCTATGCTTGTGAATAATCCTGTGGATTCGCCTCATTGGTGATACTTGGATTACTTATACATTTTTTACCATATTCCACTGTTCCACTTGATTCAAAACGTTCTCGTAGTGTGGAAAATGTTTCCGGCCTTGGATGTCGCATATTAGGGTACCGTTGCTTATAAATACGGGATGCTACGAAACTATTTCTTTGGGCTTCGCCCAAAACGAACACGATGTTGACCATTTCTTCTTTAGAAAAATTCATTTTCAAATGCTCACAAAGCAAATTTTGACCGTTTGTAGCTAATCAACAATTTATTTGTTTCCAAGGATGATGCGATATTTTAGGGAATTAAGCCGTTCCACAAAAGACGTGCTAATAACCGAAAAAATAGCCGTGAAAACCCTTATGTTCCTAATATCAAACACAAGCTTATAAAAAATTGAATCCAAACCTGCACCAATATACAGGGTGATCCATTTGACATTTTTGAGAAAAAGTACAATTCGCGTCAACTATTGAAAAGTCCTTCGAGACTTCATCTTTCCTGGTAACATCCATTATCCAACGCGTGCCGGCCGACTGACACTCTACAGTGGCATATGCAGTGTGAAATTGAAGTTATTGAACCGCTATCGAACCGTTACGTACTTGTGATATCTGTTGCCTACTATGTAGGGACTTAGAAAGAATAGAAAGATTTTCAAGTTCTTCCAAATCAATCAGTGGTTATAATATAAAAAAAACATAGCTATGGTTTGCTATTTCTTAATAAAATTAAAATAATTCCGTCCTAATAGAACCTCATCGGTCCAGTTTTTTGTTCGTCGACTCTGTGTTCCCTTTCACTGTCGTTTAAGAACAATTTCAGCAACAATCTCGCCGACTTAGTAAGTAATTATATTTTTTCCTCCTAATTGTTTATTGTTACTATTCTTCAACAATTGTTTTTTAGTTCCAGACGATGATGGCATAGGCGAAAGCTCGAGTTTAAGTAGTAAGAGTGTACTTCAAGGATATTTTCTCCTAACAGTTAAGGCAATTAACTATGAATAATATATATATATATATATATATATATGTGTGTGTGTGTGCGTGTGTGTGTGCGTGTGTGTATGTGCGTGTGTGTGTGTTACCCTATTAAGGTGCCATTTCACACCGCGACAGTGACAGGAGACAGCGACGGGTGCTCAGAATATCTAGCTTTTTCTGTCAACTAATTACTGCCAAGGAAGCTCAAGTTGTCAATTGACAATTTCACTGAACATGCAGTCCCATTATTACTCCAGGAAACAACTTCAAAAGTTCCTGATAATAATAATAACATTTATTCAAAATGTTTTCAAGAAGCATTGGGATAAATATGAAATTATAACAGGATCATATTGGAATATTGATCATACTGTGGATATCCTACATCTTTATTTCGATTGTCTCTTGAATGTGACGGATGCAATCTTTCCAATGGTTTGCCGTCACTCTGTTGACAGCTTCATGAAACAAATTTTTCACGACAAATTTGCCCAAATCATATCAACGGGATTTAATTTGCATTGAGAAGGAGTTAGCCTTAAAACGGTCTTACAGGTACACTGTATTTTGGTTTTTAGCCATATAATATAAATAGCAACTGCCGGCGTCGGCGTTCCGGCGATATTCCGAGCCTCAGTTCTATCCTGTAGAATCCTGCACTTGTTCGTAGTTTTATGGCCAAAACACCAATAGCTATCGCAACGCTTAGGCGGCTGCCGCCTTGCCGCACTGCATCTTTGTTGTGCCGAGGCATAAATGGACTACGAATGGGGTATAGGTCTTCGTGATTGCTGCTAATAAAAATTGATGCAAGCGGTATGTCGGACATCGGCATCTCAGCAGAGCATCTGCAGCCGCAGAAAGAAGGCGAAAGTGGTCTTCCAATTCTGCTGCAACAGCAGCAGCACGTGAGTGCGAGTGGACCCCGTCTCCAGCCGGTGCGTGTCTGTCTGCCGGTGCATCAGTCGTAGGCGCGCGTGTCTCGCAGAGAGATGCAGCATCAACAGCAGCAGGGACGACGTCGGTGCACCAGCTCCTGGACGTCGGCATCGGTGAAGGCGTCCAGCCTGTCGTCCTCGACGTCACTTTGGTGGTTGGTGGTGGTGGTGTTGGTGGTTGTGACGACTGCTGAGGGGAGGGTGAGGGGGTACGACCCGGCTGAGGATGCAGGAGGAAGAGGACACCACGCACACGGGCCTGCGCATATCAAGCATCATCCAGGGTGAGTTGCGATTCTTTCATGACAGTATTATCGTGGATAAAAAATTATCTTCGCAAGGTTTTCATAGCTTCCAAGTTTGATTTTACATAAGAGTGGTCTTTTGCAACTACAGTTAAAAATGTACGACCATTGAAGTAAGGTATTAGGTATTAAGCAACCAAACATTTCGGATGTGATGGATGATATGATTGCTACCAATCCCTCCGTCAAATGTCCAATTAGTATCATTTTCTTCTGTCAGCTGGACCCAAAATAGTCTATTGGGCTATTTGATGGTCATGCATTCATTCATCTTTTTCCAATCCACCGATTTGAAAACGGCTTTCTGTGTTGCATCAATTTAAATTTTATATTTGATATAAATAATTTTATCAATATAGTTAATACACGTCTTGAGAACAAACAATCTATAGATGGTATTTTTACATAACCAATATACACATAACTGTGTACAACACGACATTATTATCTCGAAGCTACCATTTTACTCTTTGATCCAAGTAGCATACTGCTCTTGGAATCCTACCTTACTGGTAGACATCAATTCCTGGAATGCAATGGCTGCAAATCCTCAACCAGACCAATTTCGCATGATGTTCCACAAGGTTCTGTCCTCGGCCCTCTGTTATTCTTATTGTATGTAAATGACTTGCCAAATTTCCTTTCCAATTCTATACGCCGATGACACAACTCCTGTTTCGCCTCGCGATTCCCTCAACAACTTGGATAATGTGACTTCTAATTGTAAGTCCGGCGTCTTTCAATGATTTGGAAGCTGGTCCAAAAATTGTAAAACAATTTTTCAAACTATAAATCTTAGAAAATGACTATACGCACGTGTTTTTTTGAACGGTTGGAGCAAGAGATTTACAATTAAGGTTTTCATTGGCTTTGACTTGTATGACCAATTCTTGGATGAAAGAACTGCATTCCTGTATATCTAAGGAATAATTTTTAAACAAGATGGAGTATACAGTATTTTTTTAATACAATTATTCCGGGCAGTGTATCACATAATAAAATGATTATTTGGAGAGTTAGACTCAACAGTATACAAGCTATTTTCTATACTTGTTAAATATAAAGTAAATATGTTAGCAGTTTCTCATGTCCGGCGTAATTGTGGGATAAATTCAAGATAGTGCCAAATCGTATAATTTTCAATATATGAACAACTAAGAAAGCTGTTCCAAGTACTTCAATATGGAAATAGAAAGAGGAAATAATTATTTAGTTATCATCTTAAGGTACATAAATTTAAAAGAACATTTTTGTTCAGTTTGATGGGTTTTATTAGCTGGTTTATTATAAAGTTAAATAACAGTATACATAAATAAACGAGGTTTAAATAAAATCAAAACAATTGAATATCAGAAATCGAACAAAATTAATAGATAAACTTTTTAAGTGCATTCTAAAAAATCTATCCAAGATTTTCTTGTTTTTACCTCTAATACATACGTTATGTTCCAATTCAATCTTCCAACGTATCAATGGTTGGAACTTTCTAAGTGTTACATTTGAGTGCTTGGAGCAACTCCTAAAGGAGTATATTCAACAAAGTAATAGAACGTAGGGTGAAAACTCAGTGACGGAAAATTATCTCAGCTAACTTTATGTGTGAAAATCCACCCCTAATTTCACAATTAAGCTCCCCCACGATGCATTAAAATTGTATAGCTGTACCCTCAAGAAGAAAGTAATACGTTCAAAGATAAATGGGAATAAGGAGGGTGCGCATGTGAAATCGGCTTATTATTCACGCTTTGAAATACGATACGAGCAACATTTTATTAATGCATAGGTAGCAGTTATTGAACGCTATTTTGCTTATAACGGGTGTAACAAAACTGACAGAATGACTCCGTATTTTTCCAAGTAAGTTATTTTTTAAAACAAGGTCTAATAACTTCTGACAATGAGCTCAGTGGTGACTTTGGCTTTAACCTTGAACCCGACCTTAAAGGTCATTTCAATGACAACTTTAAGAAAAACTGAGAATTCCACTCTTTGACATCAGCAATAGCAAATTTTACGTTTCAGTGTACTATTATGACTTTGTTCTTCCCAAAAATTGCTAAAGGTGTGGCCCTTATCTTAGATTTTTATCATATATTCGGACGAAAAGGTTTCTGTACTTTCCGGTAGTCTTTATCAGAAATAGGGCTTTCCATTAAAAAAACAAAGGTTTACCATGAAATAACGTTGAAGATAAGGCCCAAGTTCAAATCTCGTATAACCAATGATGTTCAATGTTAGAAAAGTCCTAACCTTCACCACTTTTAAAAATACATTACCTTGAAAAGTAGAGTATTTCTGTTTCATCGGCTAGAATGGTTATTAAGGGAGTTAATAGAGTCCTTGGCCAAACTTCAACGGGTGATTTCTTTAGTGATTCTAGGACGAAAGATTCTTATAATCATCGCATTATGTTTTCCTTGTGGGGCGTGTTTCTTGTTCTATTCAAAAGAAAGGTTTTCAGCGATATGTGTGAACCTATTTACAAAGTTGGCTAAATGGTTCATACCATTTTTACGAAATACAGACTTCAAAAAAAAGTTTCTTGAAAACGAAGCGTTTCCGTGCTATCAACTTTGTTTTAGAATCGCTGAAGGAATCACCCCTTGAAGGTTGTTGACGTCTTGTAGGTTTTTCAAGTACGCACTTACCCCTAATAGTCTTATTATTGATAATAAGCTTTAACAACGCCTTATAGATTTTTTCAAAACGTGATTAAATAGTGGTACCTCTGATATTCATGTTTCCCACTATTATTCTGGATAAGAGAATAAGCACAAACATGTCTACAAAACCGGTGGATCAGAAAATACCTACAAAATTGGAAGGTCATCGTATATCTAGTTTTTGTAATGATATATGGAAACAAAATAGTGGGTATAGTATGAAATAGCACAACAATGCACTACCATCTGTGTTTCATGCTCAGCCTGCTGTGGATGTTAAGATCAGCTTTTATTATAAAAATACAAAGTACTCCATTAATCTTAAACGACTTACTTAATGGTCCTCCTTCTTCGTACTTTATGAGCTCTATTGTTTGCCGCTTAATGCTTCTGATGGCTCAAACTGTCAGGAACGGCAATTAAATTAATAATAGGTAATACGGCACTATCCCATCTCCGAAGATTTAAGTATGCGCTTTTGCTTTTAATTACTGAGCTGTTTATGTATTAAGCGATTTGTTGACATGATTGTGTTATGTGCTATCTCCATTACCCTTAATACTGTCTACAGAGGTGTACGATCAAACTAATGCAATACATTCATTACAGAAAACGTTCTAAAAATGAAATGACTTCTAGGTAACCAAATGCCTTTGACTTAAAACTGTGTGGAGTCAGTTGACACTGTACTTTCCACAATATTCGGTCATTAATTAGAATATATTATTTCGAGGCCTAGCCCCTAGCGCCATATGAACTACAATACCAAAAGATACATGTCTTACGAGAGAGGCCAGCGGTTCCTCTAACCGTATTTACCTATATGAGCATTTTGGTGATTTTTAATCAGATTATAGACTCTGTTTCGTTGGTGAAGGGATAAAAAGGCAGTTAGTTGTTGTGGGATGTGATTCCGACCACTAATCCGTGCAAAGACGTACAGTTTTTCTTTAGTTTTCCCAAAGAGATTAACCTTAAGTAGTTACATCTTAACAAAAGTACAGAAACATGGAACACTTTACAGTTGTAGGCTATAATGAAGCTATTACTATGGAAAATTTACTCCCGTCTTTCAGCACCCGAGCCTTAGGTATCTGGTGTTGTGGAAAAGCGGAGAGGTGCTTACAAAGGTACAAAATATTTGACATTTCAACTTGACGTCAGCTAGAACATTTTTTCCTAAGAATTATTGTATGTCTGGGCAAATATTTTACCTTTTCTGTAAGACCGAGCCAAAAATGTTAACGACTAATCTTACAGTAAAAGTATAGGTTATTAAATGAACTTGAGTTTTTTCTGTGTTAAGTTTTTGTTATAACAGCTCAAACAAACACGTTTCAGAGGAAATTCAATATTCAATTCAATAGGCTTTATTCAGAAAAAAAAGTTGATATAAAAACAAAATGAATGAATAAAGCATGAGCCGATAAGTGTGAAATATCACTTGTTTCGGCTCGATATCCATATTTCCCTAATGGAATCACAACAACGGGATCATAAGCATGTAATTTTGACAACCCTCCAACACCTACAACACTTAGTTAGCTTCCTTGCTTCAGTAATAATAAATAATAAGATTACCAATTATTTGCTCACCAAGATGGTAGTGGTCTTGCTTTTTCTATAAACGAGAAGTTGCTACACTTTCGGTCCCATGTTCATAAAATTGTGCCAAAAATTTCTAGTGTGACGTAATGACTAGGTCAAGTGGAGATGGAGATCAGATATTTGCTAGATACAATGAATTCGAATACGTTAGCAGCCAAGCCTATATGTTTACATTGCATTGTTTGTAGCCCAAATTGCGTAGTTTTAGTCATACTTTTGACTCATTTGTCTGCCAATGCCTACCAAAGTTTCAGCGTTTTTTCATGCGGCTGAAGTTCCGATCGATCACGCTCTGATCGAAACGGTAAAAAGGCAGCAATGACGAAAATTTGCCATTACCACTTCTACTGACGTAATTTAGGTCCAAATAAACATAAATCGATGCGGTTTTCACGTAGTTCGATTGTATTACGGGCTTTCTATGTACTGTAAGAGTTTTATCTCCCTCCTCCAAAATCTTCCTCAAAATGAGGAGAAACGCGAAAAAATTGATATTACATTAAAATAAACCTGGAGAAATGCGGTTTTCACGTCAATTGATTAGAAAAAGCATATTTTACTTACGCTAAGTTCAAATCCGTGCTATCTCGTTCACAGATACCGCAAATTGACCCCCCTTTAAAACCTAATATTTTAGAAGCTATATAATCATCTATAGCTTTTCAAAACCGCCCAAGACCAAAATGTTTTGGACACTTCTCGCATATCTATT